TTCTCTTCCTCTTCCTTCTTCTTCTTCTTGTTCTTTTTCTCTTCGTCTCTCGGTGCTCGGACTCTTTCACCCTGTCTTCGTTCGGCGCGCACTTTTTCCTCTCCGTTCTAGATATATCGCGCAGGTAGATCGTAGGAATGAGCGGTTTACGAGTCCCGACACCGAATCGTGTCGGCAATACACACCTATGTACGCGCGTAGCAGTCTCTTCAACGTCGACTGACGAGAAGTCAGTGGCTTGTTGTTCAGTCGGGGGGCGAGAGGGAAACTCTTTCGATGTGCTAGGGGGACTGCTGTGGAGTAGAAACGAGTAGGAGAGGGCCCCAGGAGGTGGGGATCGAAACGGTGGGGGTCCGACGGCTGCTTCAAACTCCCCCCTAAACTTGAGCCTGCATTGTACACTCTATACCCCGCTTCCATAGTACATGCTCCTGCCTCCACCCGATCCGCTATGGCTACCGTGCGCTACGTTCATTCTCCCTTTCGCTAATTTTTTGCTGGTGTCTTTTCTTCCGAAACTGAACGGAGGATATTACACGAACATTCGTGATCTAAATTACTCATTGGCTTTTAGATAACATTTATTCGTGACTTTATTTACCAACCTTCATTATTTGAAATAGTTATTTCGTTTACGTTTCTTTTTCCTTAAGGGCGGTCATTTGGTAATATACGTGTATATTTGTGAACAAGTTTTTTATCGCAATACGTTTCTCGTTCGATACTATGATTTTTAATTAATTGAATTGAAGAATGTGCTTTTAAAATTATTTGCGTTGTTACTTGGACAAATAATGGTGAACTATTGAAATAAGTAGATAGAATAATTGGTTGCGAGTAATGAATAATCATTTGAATCAATTGTTCAACTGACAAGAAATCCCTCGCCTAATTATTTTAAATAAATATTCATCCCAAGTAATTTTAGTAATATTTAACCCTGATATATAATGAAAGAAATAGATCCGGCTCATTAGTTATTAATAGCATTGTCCACGTTTCTTTTTAAATCAAAGTAAATAACGAAATAAATAAATGATTATTCTATTAGGATAAAAATTTTTAAAATAGTACATAGTAAATACAAGTACAAATTGCTACCGATTAATTTTCAAAAATTAATACGGAACAAATTATTTTTACATTCTAATAATGGTTTTTTAAAAACTTACATTAGTGAAACTTTATTAAACTTTTTATTGTTTTGAATTTTAAATAATTCATTATACTATAGACTATTAATTTTACTAATAAACATTACACCCGAACTGCAATTAAATCTTAATCGATATTATACGATACTACATATTATATGAATAAGTACACATAGGAGTTATCAATATATATTTTTGTATGGCAATAAATTATGAAATATGAAACTTCTGTTTTGATTGGAAGTAAAACTCAAAAATTTTGAGTTTTTAAAGTAAAACACTATCTAAAAAGCTTTAACATCGCTCGCATCCTTAGCAACGACTTCCTCTCTTTTCCTTCGTCGTCTTTCCTTTCTGCCTCGCCCTCTGTCGTCAGTAATATCGTAATGAAAGTAAATCGGTTTAATTCGATCGTTAAATTCAATTGAACGCTACAGTCGCCTCGAGAATGCGTATGTAGGACCCTTGGTATTCTTTGCAACGCCATCGAAAACGCAGTACTTCTTAGAGACCCTATCACTTTCCTCCATCAAAGAGTAGCGTCAGAATTATTTTTCTTTATATTATAAATAAAATTCGCAGTCTAATTCCGAAGTTCCACTAGGAAACCAAAAAATTAGTTGCATTAAACATTGTTCATAATTTAATTTTATAACTTTACCAATACAAGGAACAGAAAGGATGATCTTCCTCCCTCACGTCAATGACAGGTCCCTATCTCCTTTAACGGCGCAATAAATGCTATTGTAATTCGGTTGTGATGTTCCCGGTCATCCAGCATATTGACTAGATGTTGCGTCAATTGATCCTCATTTGCCACAAGTTCTATAAACTTTTCGTAACCCTTAGTATCATCGTGTAACGACCGTGTATCGTAAATAGAAAAAGTCGGTAATGCCATCGATTGATTCTTATATGAAATGTAAGTACTTATATAATTACATCGCTGTCATAGTATTCTACAAGTTGTTTTCTAACATGTAAATATAAAGTTTCTTGTAGCGCATTATGTTGCATTTCTGAATGCAATATGTAATTTCGTCAAAATTAATGAAAATAATACTTAGGTGTTAAATGCAATATCAGTTACTTTTGAAATTACATTTAATATCTATGGTATTTCATTGAAAATTAACAAATGTTCAAACCAGATGTATGTAGTTCCTAACAAAGTAAAAACAGAATTCATTTAAAATATATGCCATAGGATTAGGTAAAAGTTTCAAGACTATAATAGTTGCAATATACTTTTAAATTTTAATTTTTATTTATTTGTATTTTGAATATTTGTATGTTATAACTTCATGATCATATGAGACGTGAATTACACACAAGGTAAGGGTTTATGGTTTACTTATCCTATTCTTAAATATATCTAATTAATGATGAATCAATCAATATATAACACCTAAGATGAAATGTAAAATTAAACATTTTTCACCTATTTAAATCATTTTCTTGTAACAATCAGCATTGTAAAATAAATTCTGAATTACTGTATCTTTCAAACACGCCTCGACATAATAAAGAGTTTTAAGGACCGCGATCTATTATGTTGGGTATTATAAGAAAGTCAAAGCCTTATTATTTAATTAAATAAATATTTATTTATTCTGTATAATTATCTTTTATTATTTAATATAACCGTGGCATAACCATTTTGTTAACCTCAAAAAATCATACATCAGTAAGAAGAAGGAAATCAAACATAATCTTAATTATCGCAAGCAACGTCTTCATTTCTAATTTGAAATATAGATATCAATGCTAAATACGCGGTTACTTTTCAATTGAACATATTATAATAAGATATTTTGAAGTGTGTGATCTCCACAAATTTCATCAATATTAAATATTTCGTCGTATTCAATCCTGCTGTCGTCTCGCACAAACCTTTATTCCATTTTTGGAAGGGTGGCGAGTGCAACTGTGTACGTGACCAGATGCACGGGCTCTCAAAGGACCACGTTTCACCCCACTAACCGGAAATACCAGTAGCTCTCGTCCTGCGTGATGCATTCAGGACCAGAATATCGGAATACTTTGAGTCTAACATTCAACCCATAATTACTTAGATAATTTACACTGCTACACGAAATTAACCTTGCATTAACCTCGACAATTTTTTCAAGGAATTCTTTCAAAATTGTTTGAAAAATATTAATGAGTATTTTACGATATATTTTAATATATGATTATGTATTTAAATATATTCGCTTACTAATCATGTGAAATATGTAGATAAATTAAACTGAAATATTATCTTATATATAGCAGGAAGGTAATTAATTATTTTTCTAAAATTTTGATTGATAAATCATTTTTATTATGCAATTAGGCTTAAAATAAAGTATATAAACATTCATACTTTTTCGTAAATTATTATGATTTAAAATTCTATTTGTACAGGGTAAATTAAATAGTTTACAGTGTTTATTATAATATTATATATTATTAGATACTATATAATTAATGTATTATGATATACAATTCATTAGACGAGATGGATACTGAATAATGAAAATAAAGAATAGTACATTTCATTGATAAAATATTTAAATAAATATATTAGTCGTTCAAATACCAAAATTATTGAAGAATATTCATTGTTTACTTCAATGGAACAGTTACGTATATTTCTTTCTGTACTAAAGTTTTCATTACTATATGTATAGTGGATTAAACGTTTCATCGAATTTCATTAAACGCTAAAAAAAGGGAAACTTTATCACGGTAACATTTAATTAATTAAATTACATTTAAAATACATTTAATTATTTATACTACTGGCTATTCTTTTTTGTAAGATTCATAAATGACGATCTTACAATTAACGAGGAACTTTTGGCATTGGTGCCTTTGTATTTTATAGTAAACGTAATAAATATGTATGACGCAGCCCGTAAACAAACAATACAATAGGACGTATTTGAAAAATGCACTACCATTATGATGAACGGTGTAAAATCGATAGTAAGAAAAGAAAATGGCTTCAAAGCACACTTGCAGAAGAACGGTATTAATTGCCCAATACTTCATTGCATTATACTTCAGGAATCATTATGTAGAAAAATTCTACTTTTCAGTAGCACAATGAAAATTGTAATAAAAATTATGATCTTGATTAAAAAGAGGAAACAAATTGTTCTCGCATTTTCCACTCGCATTTCAGACTATCAATTTTCTTCTAAAATTTTCTTTTCTTGCATAATGCAGAATGTAGGTAAACTATGCACCGTTAATACAACTTTTTACTCAATATTTACTGGATCAGTAATACGAAAATAATAATAGAATAACAATAACCAATTAACAAAAGGCTCGACAATAACGAAATATTAATAATATTGAAATAAAAAATTTAAGAAGATGAAAAAATTTAACTAGATCTGAAGTCGTCCCAACTGACCCACCCGTACTTAACAATATTGAAATAAATTATCCTTTATTATAAAATAAATAAAAAAATCTTACATCCCCTTGAAAAATTGTACATAACTAGATCTGAAAGTCGTCCCAACCACTCCACCTGTAAACTCCAAATCAAACATTTCTCCGTTCCATCGTTCCAGTGAAAACAGATGTCCTGTGCAACAGGGTTTCATGTTACACGAGATTTTGTGGGAAATGTAACTATGCAGCATGTTAGACTTGGGGGTCACCTGTGTGTTCATTTCCGTTGTGTACATACACGAGAGACAGAGGAAATCGACAACGTTCGCGGCATCGGCTTAAAAATAAAAAGCACCATTCGGCGGGAACGCTAGCGTGTGTCTACAAATATTTACGCGCGTAAAATC